AACGTTAAAACTTTCTCCATCCATATACTGTACCACTGTTCTTCTCTCATCATATCCCATGTGTGTTATATATCTCATACTTTTATATCCAGCAGATCCCTGCCCCTCACTCCAGGGGATCAATAGCTGTTCCTGGCCGACTGGATGCAGTCAGGCCACAATCACGTCACAAAGCTTTGAATAAATACCCTGGCGTAATCCTGCCTGGACTGGACATGCACAGAATTAAAGTGCTGAGAGAACATATGGCCTGATTCCATGCTTCCAATGTTCCAACAGCACACAGGGATGAAAGGCAAGGCTACACAACCAGTGCTGGTGCAAAAAGTGCCGAAGCGCAGGCTCAAGAGGAAGTGCCTTAGAGAAATGAGTGGCTGAAATGTCAGGCCTCAATCAGTGGGCTGGTGTGTTGGAGGTGAGACATGGGTTACTACACAATTTAAGAGCGAGATCTTTGCCTTGGAGTTTAGTAGCATTCATCTAAAACAGCTGTTGTTTTGGATAATACATAAACATATGATTAATTTATACTTCCATTCAAAAGTTTGGGGTCAGTACATTTTTGTAAAGAAATGTGTTTCCAGAAAAAAATATCAATCAGCAAACCTGTTTTCAACATTGATAATAATATGAAATGTTTCTTGTGCAGCAAATCAACATATTAGAAGGATTTCTGAAGGGTCATGTTAGACTGGAGGCTGGAGTAGTGATGCTAAAAATTCAGAGAAATAAATTACATAAAAAAAAAAAAAAATTAAAATAGAACATTTTTAATTGCATTCATATTTCACAGCATTACAGTTTTAACAGTGTTTTTGATCAAATAAATGTAGCCTTGGGAAGCACAAAACACCTCTTTGAAGAACATTAAATATATTTTTGCAGTTAATTTCAGCAATTTTAAGAATATAATTATTGAAAGATATGAGCCATTTTATTTAAAATGTGAATATCAGTTATCTGACTTTAGTTTACATAACATAATAATTGGATATTGTGGAGAGTTTTGGCACAGTATGCTCAACATAATGAATGTTTGGATGGGATTTGTGTTGTCCTCTGTGTTAGACTGGAGGCTGGAGTAGTGATGCTAAAAATTCAGAGAAATAAATTACATAAAAAAAAAAAAAATTAAAATAGAACATTTTTAATTGCATTCATATTTCACAGCATTACAGTTTTAACAGTGTTTTTGATCAAATAAATGTAGCCTTGGGAAGCACAAAACACCTCTTTGAAGAACATTAAATATATTTTTGCAGTTAATTTCAGCAATTTTAAGAATATAATTATTGAAAGATATGAGCCATTTTATTTAAAATGTGAATATCAGTTATCTGACTTTAGTTTACATAACATAATAATTGGATATTGTGGAGAGTTTTGGCACAGTATGCTCAACATAATGAATGTTTGGATGGGATTTGTGTTGTCCTCTTACAGGCATAGTTCACCCAAAAAAGAATGTTTGCTGTTAGTTTATTCTCCCTCATGCCATCCAAGATGTACAGTAGGTGATTTTTTTTACAGGTAATAATGTTGTAAATAATGTTTGGTTTCTTGCACAAACTGATCGTTTCACTTCATGAGACCTCAATATATCATCAGGAGCATAGGCGGAGCGTGTGTGAGGCTTAGCCTTCCCCTGGCCACTGGGACTTGGGGCAAAAATGCCCCTGCACAAACAAATTATTCTATTAGGTCTGTTGCTAACAAAGTGAATATGAATAGACAATGTCGATTGTGGCATTAAATTAAGATCTGCTCATGTTGCACGGTATTTCATTTTAGGCGTTTTTACAGTGTTGCGTATTTCAACCAATCACACTAAATTCGGTTGAGCTTAGGGATGCAATGTCCAATCAGAGGCGTTCAGATGAGTCATCGTTGAAATAGATCAGTTTTGTTGACAGCACGAATTCGCTGACTGAATTCCGGACTCTTGTGAATTCTCTCATCATAAACAAAGCGCAGATGGACGTAAAATGCAAGTAAGAGATTCATGTCACAGTGTATACAGTTTCATTGATTATAACGTTTTGTTTTTTTTGAGCGTGCTTAAACTCGCGATAGATCAATGTTAGTGATAATGTCACTTTCTATATAGAATTTATTCGCTGTTTGAATAACTGTGGAAAGGAAATGCTATATAATAATCAATTTCTAACGTTTTTATTAAATTGTAATCACGTTAAATACTAATTCTGTCCCATTAAAAAAAATTTTTAGCCTACATGACACCCATGCCTGGTCCTTGCCTAAAAAGACTGGTTTATGATGTTTAATAAATTTGGCTGCTTTTAGCCTTACCCTGGAGTTGGTTCACCCTCCGCCTATGATCAGGAGCCACGGGTACTAATTTTGTGTTCCTTGATATGTTCCTAGATATGCTTTACGCTGACTTGAATTTCATGAAATCACCAAGGACCACACTTACAGCTAAAAATCTTCTTTACTGTTCTACTGAAGAAAAAAAAAGTTCTCCTGCATCTTGGATGGCCTGAGGGCGAGTAAATTAACAGCATTTTCATTTTTGGGTGAACTATCCGTTTAAGTTTCCATGAGATCCGTCATATTCCAGCTAAAAAACATCTTTCTAACATCAAATTTATGAACAGTTGAGTAAACAATTTTTTTGAACAACTATCTGTAAAAAAACTCAAATTAGCAACAACAAAAAAAATGTAAACAACATGAAAAAATCTTCCAACTATTGATTACAAAACAGCTCTCTTTTGAGCAACTATGAACAGTTTAAAGCCTCAAAGCATTTTGACAAAGCATGAGGCTTAGAATTTGGCAAGTGTGGTCAACAAGCTCCTACTTGTTGTACAATTCGAACCATCTTTATTTTGAATGTCACATCTCTCAGTGTCCATGCTAAGAACGGTTATTCAAGTTCTCTACGCTCCACAAAGACAACTTACTTAGAGGTAGTTTTTAAGCAAGTAAAGGTCCATTTAAATGAATGTTGGATGCATTTACTGGAACCATTTTAAGAAGCTGCAACATTTGAATCAAGCAAGTTCATGTAGCCCTGATTTATTCTCCAGTGCAGAGACGGTTCATTCCCTCAGGCCTGCAGAGACCCTTTGAAGGGTTGAGAATATGACAGAATGTCTTAAGCTTTAATCTCTGTAGGTACTGTGTGCACAAAGTAGCGTGCAGCGCTGGAAGAGCCCCACCACCCTTATATGCAGCACAGACTGACCTCAAAGCTCCAACTGATAAAGCAAAGCAAACGTCTGCCGTGACTGTCAGTCTGGTTTGAATCTACATATCACAACCGCACCCTTTTAAAGCAAAAGTGGGAAGAGGGTCAAAAGAATAAAAAGAATAAAGACCTCCTATTGCTCAATGGCCTGTTGAGATTAAAAGCTAAACATATACGCCATTCTCTCACTGTGTGTATGACAAGTTTTTTCACTTCCTCATTTGGAGAGATAAACCAACCAAAGCTGAAAACTTAATGCACAAATGGCCATTTTTAGGCAAGGTTTATTTGGCTGTGAAGCCTGTATTCCAGAAAGGGGTTTGTTCAGTCTGTGGTCAATGAGAGTACTAGTGAGAATGAGCACACAGTCTTTTTCGCATACTTTTGCGTCTCTGGAACACTATTTAAAAGTCAAGCAGATAAAATCTATGGTGGTGGCTTGTCATTTCACCCTCATTTTCTATCCGTAGATCAGTGCAACTTCAAAGTTCATTAATATATTTAAAAACATCAACAACACTTTTAAAATCGTCAAAGTGATATTTTGGAAGCAAACCGGACAAAGGTGTGTTTCAAAACTAGAGATCACGTAACTCCAGATGATTCATTCACTGTAAATAGGGGTGTATATTTAAAGCACAAACAAATTAGACTCCGACTGGACAGATATGGTAAATGACTCAAAATCATGAAGAAACATTAAATCTTCTCTAACTATAGACACAATTACACATATGCTTTGCGTTTAGTGTATACTGTGCATGATTCTCTGTAACAAGTTCTTTGAAATTTCTAGTAAATAATAAAAGAATGAAGTGAATGTTGAGGTTAGCAACATTACGCCACATTTTATATAACCATTTCCAACCACTCGTATCATTAGTCTGAATGACTCTATGGTGCCTCTCCCTCTAAATATGCAGGTTGGGTCAAATCGGTTACAAAACAAGCCCATTCAGACTGGTCAGAGTACTGACTAACACCTTACATTATGTGTCCATATTAATGCTGTAATATTTAACTACAAAAAAAAAAATCTATAAACTCTGCAATTATATTAAGCCCCAGAGAAAAAAAAGTACACATTAATTTGATATTATTCATCAGTATTACTCGGTACTTAAGCAATAAGTAAAAAGAACACTAATATAAAGCGTGAAAATGTAATGTTTGACCATTTCTTTGCATCACAAAAATGAGTGTCGCAAAGTAAGCTGTGAAAGGGATGGTAAAGGAAGAAAAAACATTTTGTGCAATTTAAAAAGCCATTTTAAAATATAGCCTTCTCTGACAGTAAATGAAATGCAGCATTAGGGGCACCTTAATTTTTTCGTATATCTTACAAAAATGTTTTTTTTTTATAGCATTAGATTTGCTTTTTATACTGATTATGTTTCAATATTAAAACGTCTGAAATCTGATATGCAGAACTGTTTTTTTCCCTACATTTTGACAAAATATTATAGTTACTTTCTGGACCACAAAATATTAATTCTGAAAAATGTTAATATATTAATATTGACAATTAAACAATTTAAGCATCAATAGCTGTATGATCAAAGTCAAATAATAACATCAAAAACATAACGTTAACTTATTACCCTAGTAACTTGCCAACTTGACAGTGCAACTTGAGACATGATGCCCAAATAGGCTGCCTAGGTGACACGGCCAAGTGGACAGTTTTTTTCAGAAGTTTATGTAATCAGAATGCATTAAACTGTCATATCTCGCACTACCTCTAAAGTGAACCCCCCCCCCTCCAAGAAACCTGTGCAGAACCCACCGCGGTCGAGACTCCAGCGAAGAGCCGCAGCTCTGCACTGACAGCAGCGTCGGAGACTTCCGCGCTCCGAGCGGAGTGGGCTGCAGACCGCACGGGGACAGGAGATTGCTCTGCGAGGAGAACGAGCCCCTCTCCCTCTCCAGGAACAACTCGGTGCTCCCGGCGTTACTGAACTCAGAATCCGACGGCAGAACCAGGATGGGCGGGACGTTGAGCAGCCCGAGTCTGGGGACAGAGAGGCTGGGGAAGTTCCCATCGCTACTCGCCACAGCGGACAGTTCGCTCACAGTCGCGCCGATGTCAGAGCACTGAAACTCGGCATCACTTGGGCCCGCTGCGCTCACATTGTTCCGCACAGGCCGACCGTCCAAGGATATATTAGTGAGAAACAAAAGCGCAGCTTGTCTCCTCCGCGAATCTTTACTTTTCCGCAGATGCTCTCTGTGCAGTTTGCCAGTGCATGGGTTCAGTGTGCTCTGCGTACTGCACGCAGCAGCCGCCATTCTCGAGTAAACCGTGTCCGCTCACTCCGCTGCTGCTCGGTTCTGTTTCTACCCCGGCGCGACTCGCCTGGACACGCCCACTCGCACCTGTTTGGCTTAGAGGACAGGATTTTAGTAAATAGATAGAGCGTGCGCGGATTTCATTGGCTGATGAGTCATAAAGCGTTTGAAATCATTTCACAGGCGCGCTCTGACAGAAGAGAGAGAAATTGAAGGACTGGAGATGCAGTTTTTGCCGCTTTGTTGTTATATATGACCCTGGACCACAAAACCAGTCAAAAGGGTAAATTTTCTGAAATTGAGATTTATACATCATCTGAAAGCTGAAGTTTCTATTGATGTATGATTTGTTAGGATAGGACAATATCTGGCAGAGATTGTAAAATCTGGAATCTGAGAGTGCAAAAAAAAATTCTAAATATTGAGAAAACCGCCTTTAAAGTTGTTCAAATTAAGTTCTTAGCAATGCATATTACTAATCAAAAATTAAGTTTTGATATATTTATGATAGGAAATTTACAAAATAGCTTCATGGAATATGCTCTCTACTTAATATCCTAATGATTTTTGGCATAAAAGAAAAATGGATAATTTTGACCCATACAATGTATTGTTGGCTATTGCTACAAATATACCCGTACCCATGCTACTTATGACTGGTTTTGTGGTCCAGGGTCACAAAGAGTAGCAAAATAAACGCGTCCTTTAGACACATTTTAGGTATGTATCACAACATTTTACTTTATCACATTTTACAGTGTTAAACTATTATAAACAGTACTGTGAAGTCAGTCAGCTCTTTATTCCCATCAGGATTGCCAGTTAAAGTATAAAGAATGCAATAATAATGCATGGGCCCTCCATCCTCTGACCTACTGACTAAGATATTCCACAGAGGACCTCAGTTGGCCCTCTTCATCACAGGGCCTGGGACAAATGTTCTCTGTTGCCCCCCGCTGGTTTGACTATAAGATTATTTGGGTGTGAGAAGAGGTTTAACTTTAATCTAAACCCTGTCTGGCCCTGTTCTTCTGCCCGATTCCATTACATAACAAACGTTTAGCCTGACAAATGTATGTGCCATTTTGATAACCCCCAATGCTGGGCGCAGTGCCCATCAACCTTCTGTGGTTGGCATAGATAAGAGGGAAGGGCATCAGACTGTGGCAAGGTGACAGTGTCACTGGAAAGAATGTTAAGGCTTTGTCAAGGAGTTTTTCATGGGTTATTCTCCCTGCAGACAGCAGCCATAGTCAATGACCCTCCAGCTCCAGCAGATTACTGTGTAGTGTGCACTGGCTGGAAGAAAACTCTTCATCACCATCATCATCACTGTCGTCAATATTATATGATTGCTTTCTCTTTTTCTCCTTTTAAGTGACCTTTTCTCCAAATAATACGTAACTACTCATGTCCTCTCTGGCACTTCCTCACTGCATTGGTGCTCTTTTGTAACCCATTCATGCAGAACATGAAATAACCAAACTTGCATGCAAATAATACGCAGATTTACAAATGCAAATAGGATGCAAAAGGCCCATTTTTCATCAGCAGCACTCAGTATGGCCCAATAAAGTGCACATACTGTATACTGTAAATGTTTAACTAGTTGAGTTTGAATTATTTTATGTTATATATATATATATGGCCAACAATTCACTAAAAAAATGAAGTATGAAGTCATATGACTTATGAAGTATTCTAATTTATTGAGATCGTGAATTGGTGGGTTTTTGTTAAACGTGAGCCAAAATCATCACAATTAAAAGAACCAAAGACTTAAACTACTTCAGTCTGTGTGCATTGAATTTATTTAATACACGAGTTTCACAATTTGAGTTGAATTACGGAAATAAATGAACTTTTCCACGACATTCTAATTTATTGAGATGCACCTGTATGTGACCTAAACCCTGTTTTCAAAAACTCTCCAGTGCAATTTCAAATATACAGTGACTTATATATATATATATACTGTATATATATGTCAGTTCATTCTGTATGTTTCACAGGTAATAATCCTCTTCTTCTATGTCTCCGTTGCCCTCCTCAAAGCTTAAAGCCTCAATGTTGTGTGTGATGTCATCAATTCTGCGGTTAAAATCCTGGGAACCAGAAGGAAGAGTCCAGCCGTCATAGCCACGGACTGCTGTGGCAGATGTGCTGCTCATGCTCCGCTTGATCCGGCCAAAACTGTCCATCAAAATCCCACCCTCTCGGATCCCAATGTCTTCCAGAAATGTCTCGAACACTCCGACATCCTTATCTGGAATAAAGGGCCTCATGCCTGCTCACATGAGAGAGGAAATACGTGAGAATGCACCATGCAAGTCTGTATTTTTAGACTTTTATTTTTAGCATGAATTTGTTGGATTATAATTGAGAATACGTATTGTTAGGTCACATTAACAAGCAAACATTTTGAAAACTTACAATAAATACATTTTAAAGATAAAAAAACACTACCATTCAAACTTTTGAGTTCAGTAAATCACACTTTCATCCAGCAAGGATGCATTAAATTAATCAAAAGTGACAGTAAAGACATTTAAACTGCTTTTTTTTTCATGTGAGAATGTGACAGAATTCCCGTTTGTGATTAATTGTCTCTATTCAACACTGTAACTCTACTCTATAAATTCACACTAACAATACTGAATGGTCTGAATGGCAAAAGTGCAGACAGTCTCACACTCGTCCAGAGCTGTATCGAGCTGACTCAGCCTTTTGCTTGCGAGTCAGGTTAGATGAGTCTACGGCCAGCAGAGGTATAAGTAGCTCAGTGAGTGTTATGTAATTGTGTCTCTGTTGCACACAATCCCTGCAATTTGCTTTATCCTTTACCAACTCACTTCAGAAGTAACATCTACAAGGTCTTTCTAATCAGGTTGGACAAATTTGTGTCGCAGTGGGAATTTATGTACAATCCATTTTGATTATTTAATGACTCACTATCTAAATATGTATTTATGACAAATCTGGGATCACAGTTACAGAGATATTTATAGTTTTGAATCGTGGTCATAGGAGTTATTTATAGGCTGTATCATGTTTCTTTTCCCACAGCGGCTAGTGTTAGTAGAATGTTTTGTAATTCTGTCACACTGTGAAAGTGTGATGTTGTTGGAAAGGCTGTTGCACCATGACTGCTCCAGTGAAAGCCAGGTGCTCATGAATATTCATTAGGCTTTATGTTACTCTAATCCCTCTAATGAGCTAATGATAGACAGCAATTACACAAACTCTGAATACAATGCCAAATATGATAAATCACGACTTTTGAAATATGACTTCAGACGTCATAATGAAATAAACCCAGTCGTACAAACACGCACGCCCCTTGGGGATTTAAACAGACACTCAAATTCCTCAAGAGAGGCAAAGAAGGAGAAAGAGAGAGAATCTACCGTGACTTTTGTATTCTGTGTTGGGAGTTTCTCACCAAGCAGCAGGAACTTGCGTGAGTCTCCATAGAGCTGCAGCAGGTCAGTGCAGAACTGCTCTATCAGAGCACCAAGTCTGTATTCTCTTAGAAACTGAGCAAACTGCTGAATTTCCTGAGGCATCAGCTTACTCCTCAACTAACCAATGAGAACAGGACACAGAACTATAATACAACAGAATTATAAAGAGACAATAATATTATGGATAACTGCAGTGGATCGTTCACGCACAAATAAAAATGATGCTGTCATTTACTCATCCTCATGTTATTTCAACCCCTCAAGGCTGCTTGATTTCATAACTTTTCATTACCAGGAACTGGGAGTACTGCTATTTTAAAATAATCATGATTCATTTTGTGTTTCCAAAAGTTGGGAACCACATCATTAGGCAAAATGTCAAAAATACTTTATTCACTAAAGTTTATACAATAACGATTCTTTATTGGCATCTATGATTCCATGAAGAACCTTTAAAGGGATAGTTCTCCCAAAAATGAAAATTCTGTCATTAATTACTCACCGTCATGTCGTTCCAAACCTGTAAGACCTTCGTTCATCTTCGGAACACAAATGAAGATATTTTTGATGAAATACGAGAGCTTTCTGACCCTGCATAGACAGCAATGCAACTGACACATTCAAGGCCCAGAAAGTTAGTAAGGACATCGTTAAAATAGTCCATGTGACATCAGTGGTTCGACCATAATTTTATGAAGCTACGAGAATACTTTTTGTGTGCGAAGAAAACAAAATAACGACTTTATTCAACAATTTCGTGAACATGCGTCGACTGACACGGAAGAGAAGAAATTGTTGAATAAAATCATTATTTTTGTTTTCTTTGCACACAAAATTTATTCTCTACCTTTTTGAACGTGTTAGTTGCGTTGCTGTCTATGCAGGGTCAGAAAGCTCTCGGATTTCATCAAAAATATCTTAATTTGTGTTCTGAAGATGAACCAAGGTCTTATGGGTTTGGAACTACACGAGGGTGAGTAATTAATTAATGACAGAATTTTCATTTTAGGGTGAACTAACCCTTTAACATACAATACTTCTACAAAAGCTTAGTGGGAAAAGATTTCTCAGATTATTAAATCTAAATCTGTTTTCTTCACACTAAGAAAGTAACGGTTCTTTTAAGAACCCAAAATGGTTCTCTTATGGCACTGCTACTAAAACCCCCTTTTGGAATCTTTTATTTTTAAAAGTGGCATGGTGAGTTTGGTCACATGTCACTAAAGGTGTGTACAATATGTGCATGTCAGATTTTATACTGGGGCACCAGCCAAAGAATTTCACCTTAACAAGAGATATGAATTGATATGAATGATATGAATGAATGTGAGTCTGCTTGTTTTAATTCAATGAAAAATTATATATAGTGATAGTGAAGTGACATGTGGCCAAGTATGGTGACCCATACTTGGAATTAGTGCTCTGCATTTACCCATCCAAAGTGCACACACACAGCAGTGAACACACACAAATCGTGAACACACACCCGGAGCAGTGGGCAGCCATTTATGCTGCGGTGCCCGGGGAGCAGTTGGGGGTTCGGTGCCTTGCTCAAGGGCACCTCAGTCGTGGTATTGAAGGTGGAAGAGAGCGCTGTACATTCACTCCCCCCACCTACAATCCCTGCCGGTACGAGACTCGAACCCACAGCCTTTGGGTTATGAGTCCGACTCTCTAACCATTAGGCCACGACTTCCCCCGACTTCTTTTATGAAGTGCAAATGAAATTTTAGACTAAAGAAATTTCATTTTTATTTAAATTTCAGTCTGTTCCTCACACAGAGCATCATATGGCTTCAAAAGACTTTGTGTGTGTCAGTGTGTGTGTATATACAGTATATACAACAACATGAGGGTGAGTAAATGACAGAATTTTCATTAGGTGAAGTGTCACTTGTATTACATCATTTTATGTGTGTAAGCATCTTACAATGATCATGTACTCCTGCAGACTGGCATTACAGGGCTCAGAGTCGCTGTGTGGAGGCCAGGCTTCGATGTGACTCACTGTAGTTCCCACTATAATACGGATCAAATGCTTCCTGTGAACCATCACTGTGAGGAGAGATAACACACATGAAGTCAGATGTGACAGAACTTAAAAGCTATTTTTAATACCACACCCCCGTTTTCTCACATATATTAAAATAGCTTTTAACAAAATATGTGCCCTCCAGCTCTAAATGGCAAAAATATTAGACTGCAGCCAGGGCCGTCCTTAGGGGGTGCGACTGGTGCGGTCATTATATATATTTCTGTTTTGTTCTGTTGGTAACTGAGACAATGATTTACAAAATCAAAATGTACAAACTGAAGAAAGGGTAAGAATGTAATGATAATTCATAAAGACAGATTTCATGATTCATAATGCATAAACAGACACTCACTATGAACTGCAGCAGCTGAAGTCTGTGTCATAGCCATATGTCATGTCGGTAAGGCAGCTGTCACCTTGGACAAGTATTGATGGGAGGGAGAATGACAACATGTTATACATTTGTGCTTTTTAAATGGCAACTGAAACTATGCTGCAAAACACACTATTGATGAGTGCAGTCTAGACATGCAATATATATTAAGATCAACAGTTTAGAACCGTTTTAAGTGGGTTTCAGGGATCCTTAATCTGCCACAAAGTGATGCTAGAAAGATTGAAAACTTTAAATTTTCTTTTTCTTATATTGTTTTTCTTACACAATATAAATGTGTTTTTATATTTAAGGAATGACAAGTATCATCATATTTTGAGGTCCTTGGCTTGGTTTAGAAGCAGTGATTCTTAACTGGGATGTATTCATATATTTATAAGAGACATCTATGTAGTAGTAACCCATCACAGTGCCAAAGTTGTAAACAAAATGTCCTCAAAATAAAACACTGAAATGTAATAAAAATGTTTAATATAAGATATATATGTATAGTAAGAATTTCCCCTCTTTAAAATTCAATTATTCTATTTATGTTGCTTTCATAATTATACATGACAAAAGTTAGCTGTCTTTTTAATTCAATTACCCCCCCCCCCAGAAGTTGGTTACTGTTAACTGGCTGCTAAAGAGCAATAGTTATGTCACTCACTCCTCTGTAGCCAATAGCGGTCAGGCATGGTGTAGTGATATCCCGCCCTGTCAACACATTCAATGGTCTGATGTCCATAGATGATCTGAAACATTTGACAGATGAGCGCGCAGTACTCCTCTGCAGCGTCCTGTGTGTGATCAATATAAGAATCAAATGAAGAGAAAATCAGTCAGTGTCTATAGCTACATTCAACTTTAAATGCTTCTACCTTTCTGCTTTTCTCTCTTACACAAGACACACATATTGCACACCAACAAAAGCAGCCAGACGGTAATGTGGGTCAACACAATCCCATATATATTAATGTCCGCAGGTACACACAGGTCACTGACACAGCATGCTCTTACATAAGTCTGGGCATTACATCACAGAGGAGTCTACTCTGAGCGCACTGTTTACATCACAGCTGACACAACTCATCTCGTCAGCACAGTCACTGCAGGAGCGCAGCTACAGCTCATGGTGAGGCTCTCATATTCCTGAGGCTCACACTCACTGATTAAATTAGGACTTTCTCATTAATCACAATCACCTTAAATTTATACAGCAGCAATCATTAATTTCTCCAAATGCCACAACTACAATGTTTGTATTGTCCATCCATTCATCCATCATTGCTTATTAACTCATTCAGCATCCATCCACATGAAATGCTGTCTATCCATTCATCCATCCATCCAACCACATTATTGGCTTTAACCTAACCCACAATTATTCATCCATTCATCCACCCACCTCTTATTAACACTTTCATCCATCCATCCATCGTCACTTATGAACACTTTTGTTCCTCCATCCATTCATCTATTTATCTATCTATCTATCTATCTATCTATCTATCTATCTATCTATCTATCTATCTATCTATCTATCTATCTATCTATCTATCTATCAGTTATTAACCCTTTCAACTACCCATCCTTCCATCCATTCATCTGAATAACGTTTTAACTCATCCCTCACTTATTAATCCATAAATCTATCCACCACCTATTAACCCTTTCATCCATCCATCCATCCACCCACTTATCCATCACTCATTAATCCTTTCATCCACCCATCAGTTATTAACCCTTTCATCCATTTATCCAGCCAGCCACATTAACAGATTTTTAATCCATCCTTCACTTTTTAACCTTTTTATCTGTACTTCCTTTCATCCATCCATCCATCCATTAACATCCATTAACCTTTTCATTTATCCTTCCATCCATCCTTCACTTGTTAACCCTTTTATCTGTCTGTCCTTCCTTCCTTCCTCCCTTCCTTCCATCCATCCTCTATTAACTCTTTCATCTATCCATCCATTCATCCATCCATCCACCCTCTGATTCATCCTTCCATCCATTCTTCAATTATTAACCCTTTTATCCAACGCTGCTCTGTTTAGGCTCATGGTGAGATGAGAGCTTCCAGTCCACACCACAGATGGTGTGGCGGCGCTCCATGGTGCCCCCTGCAGGCCTGGGGTCAGTGTTGCTTATAGTTTGTCTGCGGCTCTCCAAACCAGTGGGCCTTTTCTCCAGACTGTCACCTGCTAGTACAGTGTCCACATTCAGACCTGAGAATACAAACACAATTGAAGATTCCTCCCATCCTTATTTATTAAATGTTTGCAAATGTTTCATGGCAATGCAAACTAAAACTGTCAGACACCTTCACTGTTTTTTTTCTCAATCCTTTTTCTCTCTCCAATTTACATACTGTCCACATGCTTTACGTACTTTGTTACTTATTTACCTGGATGTGTTTTAAAACCTGTAACTCAACTCAAGCTTTGATATTTTATTCCAATATTTGTCTGCTACAAATAAACAAATTAAGATAATTTAGAAATATGCAATGTATTCCTAAAATGTGTTTTGTGAATTAAGTTATTTACAGTAGGCATAATAAAATTGACTAAAACAGAATAGATAGTAACCAGGGTAAACTCTGGTATTGTACATCATTGCTAATTTCCTACAGACCAGTTTTGAGCACCAGTAGGTGCAGTGCATCATCCCGCAGGTAGGAGGCAGCAGCGATTTCATGTGTGGGGATTCTCAGCAGCAGTTTTTCATTGTCCCTCCAGGTAAGCAGCAGACAGCGAGCAGAGAGGCTGAGAATGCAGTCCTGCTCCACACTGGCCTTCAGAGGCAAAACCCTCAGTTTCTACGGATGGAGACAGACACAATGTATAATTTGCTTAATTTTGTGGTTTTATTTTAAAGAAAAATAATAAAATAAATCATTTATAGTTTTTAAATCTGACAATTTAATCTGCTTTATGTTGGTTTCAAAGTTCAAAGTGTTTTTTTTTTTACTGAATTATCCCTTTAAAGGTGGGGTAAGCGATTTCTGGCAGCCAATGCTGACATTTGAAATCACCAAAACAAACACGCCCCTACCCCAAAAGGGTCTTGCCCCTATTTTGATAGCTCCGCCCCACACATACGTACACAACCCAGGCAACAATTCGTTCTGTGAAAAAAAGCAAAACCAATGTTACACTGTGTCTACACCGGACGCGAGTGGCGCAGCGCGACAAAATACTGTAGAACTCATTATAATCAGTGATGCTGTCTACACCATAGATATATATATATATACATATCTATGGTCTACACTGGATGTGGCACGACACGACAAATCCCTGATAGAAAACTGCTGCTGCGTTCTATTTATGATGTATTGACACAAATTTCAAATGATTTTCATCGGTCGCTTTGTCCTAAAGTCCAGTGTACTAGACTTTAGCTGTTGCGGCACAGACACAGTGTTACTCACCTATCGAGAAGAAACAAAGCAATCTCTGCGTCCGATCGCAGGCTTTCCGCTCCTTGAGTTCTCTCCAGCTCTGGAAAGCTGATCTGATATTTACACGGATCTTACTTCTTGCCTTATTGCCTTAAGTCTTCTTTTGTTCCGCAGGTGTTTTCCGCTTTTGTTTTTTATCGCCATCTCTATCTTTCTGTCGCTCAGCTCACTAATGTCCGTCCTGAGTCGTCTCGAGAGATGAACTAATCAATTCTCTTTCCGCCTCAGACTGCATTGGTTAAAGCGTATGGGGCTGTCACGTGATGAATGAACGACTCAAACCCGAAGTCTCGAGAGATGAACTAATCAATTCTCTTTCCGCCTCAGACTGCATTGGTTAAAGCGTATGGGGCTGTCACGTGATGAACGAATGACTCAAACCCGAAGACTTGTCAGAGAAGTGGTGGTGAGCTAATCACTGAAGACCCAGGTAAACAATGAATTAATCTTTTCTGTTTCTTATAGCAGTTTTGTATTGTTTGTAGTGTGATCAACGTTTGCATAAGTAGTAGACGTGTTAGGGAAGTAACACGTAACATTTTAATTATATTTTGCTAAAATGAACGAAATGACTCGAAAAAAGATTCGTTCATTTTGCTGAACGAGACTCAAAGGTTTGAGTCGGTAAAATGATCCGAACCCATCACTACACTGAATGCTCTCTCCTCCACATCATGAGTAGACACGCCCCTTACTGCTTATTGGCTACAAGTTTGTTTTGCTACTCGGCCTGAATCAGTTTTCTAAAGCGTTTTTGAAAAATCGCTTACCCCACCCGGCCACCTTTAAGCCATCTTCTGAACAACATTACAATGACTCTCACCCTGGCTGTGTCCAGAGGCTGCAGCAGCTCGTCTCTGCTCGAAGGGTTCAGGGAACATGACACCCATGTCAAGTGTCCCAGGAACTGTTAGTAACATCTATAAAATTCAGTTGATGTTTCCATGTGAATATGATCTGTTTGCTTTGTATTGTCAGACTAACCTTGACTTCCTTCTCCACATAGTCGTAGATGAGTCTCTCTGGGTGGATGAGGTAGTCAGGTGGGTAGAGGGGGACAGTGTGAAGGGGTCTACGGTACACATTGCCTTTGTTTGCCTGTCGCCGGCTAGATTTAGGGAACACCAGGTGCTTTACAAAGCCCTGAGACAAGAGTTTGCATAAGAGATATAAGCAATGATGCTATAATATAAGATATAATTTTGCAATAATGAGGGGGAAAAAGCAATTGTGGTATATAAAGTGCAGTTGAAAGTTCCTTTCACTCTGAGGCAGAAATGTTTCAATTGTGAGATATAAACTCAGAATTCTTTCAGACATTTTCTTGTAAATCTGAGTTTATCTTGACATTCTGACTTTTTCTCTGAATTCTGACCTTTTCACAATTTTTTTTCAAACTTTGAATCTCACAATTCTGACATTTTCTTGCAATTGTGAGTTTACATCTTGCAAATCTGACTGTATACAAAAAGAAAAACAGATTTATGAGATATAAACTCAGTATTGTTAGAATATAAAGTCAGAATTGCAAGATAAAACTTGCAATTTTCCCCCTGTGGTGGAAACAAGCTTCCAAATTTTCCATAGTTTACCCAAACACAATACAAAATATTCAGACAGCATTGTACTATTCAAGTAATGTGAGCTTTGTGTTAATAGCACCAGGAACTCTTTTCAGATCTGAATTTATCCAGAATACGAACATGCACAGAAACTTAAACTAAAACGAGTCTTTACTAATTCTATTGTGTATAATTTAACTTGACTTGCTTGACGTCAGATTTGTGAAAGCCTGTTTAAATCTGCTTTTATGATGATGTAACACACATCAGCCTGCTGCTCAAACTGTGACATCAGTGAGACAGCCGTTAGATATGGAAGACAGATTAGAGACAACATGGCCTACTGACAACCTGCTGATTTATACAGTGTGCGTGTGTAATGTGTGTGAGGAAAAGAATTCAAAATGTAAGGAATGTGTATCAGTCACACATCATGTCGGTGACGGTGTGTTCACATCAGATGTGATCTAATGGGGCTTATCAATCATCCTGACTGCTTTCTGGGTGTTAGTCAAAATGCATTAAGAAAGGCAAATTCAAAACAATTAATCAACCACGTCACATGACTCCATCATTAAACCTAAACACAACTATTGCCCCCCACAGCATTACATAATAAGCTAATCCTTTGAAAATAATATGAAGCTATAATTGGCCTCTTATACGGCTGTATTCCACGGTTCAGAGGATTTGCTGTTTAATTTGTGACCCAGAAATAGAGCAGAATCTTAAATATTTGTAATTCATTTTATGCCATAATGTTTCTTTGTTTTTAATGTTGGAAAATCCACACATTTCTGATGTGATCAGTGCTGGATATGACACTCATGCTGTTGCAAATGGCCTATAGCTATCTAAGAAATCCTTGGAGTGTCCTTTATTTAAAATGGAACCCCATAAATATAAATATATTTTTTATTTTGTTGCCTCAAGCAATTAGCACTTCAGAAATGAAGAAAATAGAAATGAAACATAAAAATGAAGAATGAAGAGGCTGTAAAGCAGGTGTTGCATATACTGTAGGCAAAACTGTCCAGTAGAAGGTTAAGCCTGAGAGAGACATAAACTAGAGCAATTATTGAAAATGAATGTGTATACGAACATGAAAACAACTGTGTAGTGATAAAAATTACAGAAGTTACTTTTAGTGTTTTTGAAGCATGTTTACTTATAAAGTAAATGAATCTTTTATTTTCACAATAATCAACAAACCCTAGGCCTGTTTCAATGTATAAGTATGCATATAAGAAATAAAATTCCAAATGAGTTGTCACATTCAGCAAACGCCACAGCTGCGATATAATGAGTCAACAAACAAACAGCATCACTGGCATAAAGTTATCACCCACACAATTTTTTGGTATATCATGTGGTACACACATACAGTCCACAGAAATGTAAACATTAGAGGTCACATGATCAGGTTTACAGAAAATCCGCGACACACTTCAAACACACATCTTTGAAATATTCCTAAATGTATATCCAGCTAGTTTCAATGTGTAATGAAACTGAAGAACTTACCTTCTTGGCTCGCTTGGGCTCATAGTCCATATTGGCCAGCCTGATGGCTAGTTGTGTGCAAGAGTCTGTGTTTGTATGTGTGTCCCTGTGTAGGACAGGCCCAATCTCCTCTCAGCCCTCTGGAGCCAGGCAGGATTGTACAGGAAACACACTTCCTGCTGGACAGGAAACTCCACCAGCGACTCTGATCCAAAATCCCAAACACCTCCACACTCAAACTACTGATAACACATACTCATACAGTACACAAAATTGGGTCGTAATAAACGCACTCACGAACGCACGCACGCACACACACACACACACACGTCTGGTTTGCTATCCTTGTGGGGACTCTCCATAGGCGTAATGGGTTTTCTACTGTACAGACCGTATATTCTGTTGCCCTACACCTAAACCTACCCCATTACAGGAAACTTTCTGCATTTTTAGATTTTCAGAAAACTTAATTCTGTGTGATTTATTAGCTTGTTTACCCGTGGGGACCTCAATTGAGGTCCCCACCGTGACACGAGTCCCCATGAGTCTGTGTGTATTCAGGTTTAAGTCCCCACCAGAATATATAAACCAGTACACACA